GGATCCACTTGGAGGCCAGAATTCAAGACCCAACCTTGGACCAACCATAGTGAGACCTCATCTCACCAAAAATGAAAAATTAGTCCAAGGTGTGATCGCGTGTGCCGTAGTCCTTAGCTCACTCATGCTGCTAAGGTGGGATGGATTGCTTGAGCCAGGAGGTCAGGTGCAGGAAGGCATGATTGCCCACTGCCACTCTAGCCTCAGTCTGGGTGGTCCAGGGGTGAGACCTGTCTCCAAAAGGGAGGATGGCATTTGGAGGAAGATGAGCTGTACGGAGAAGCTATGGATGTGCTCAGAAGAGACTGTGGTGGTTGGAATAATGTGGGTGAGAGCGAGAAAGGCATTGAGGAGACACTGGCTTGGAGTTAGAATGGACTGAGGGATGAGACGGGGTGGGTGGTTAGGATGAATTATGTCCCTCAGAAAAAAAAGGATATGTGAAGTCTTCACCCCAGTACTCAAGGAATGGTCACCTGATTTGGAAATAGCGGTCCTTACCAGGAGGCAATCAAAATAAAAGTGAGATCATTAGCGCGACCCAAATTCCATATGAGGAAGAGTAAGCGAGCAGTGTGATGGAGGCAGGCAGAATCACTTGAGGTCAGGGAGTTTGAGGCCAGGCCTTGGCCACATGGTGAACCTTCATCTCTAGTTTAAAAATAACAAATAATTGGCTGGTCGTGGTGGCACATGGGGGGCCCTATTATATTCAGCTACTTGGTGAGGTGAGGGCAGGTATCGTTTGAACCCAGGAGGCCAGAAGGCGTTTGGCGTGGCGAGCTGTTACACTGACTCCAGCCTGGGGCAGCAGGAGACTCATCTCAAAAAATAATAATAATAAATAAAATAAAATAAAGAAATTGAAGAAATTGGGGATAGAAAGGGAAGGGGGAGAGATGGGACCAAAATCAGGTATTCACGTGGCTTTAGACGTGGGAGTAGGGCTGAAGACGGCAGGTGGAGGAGGCAAAGATTGAGGGTGGGCGTATATTAACAGGTGGCTCTGAAGAAGAAGGTTGATGACAGGAGTTAGGACGGCAGTAGTAACGGGCTGGAGCTGGCAAGGAGGCAGGAGATGTGAGTCAGACATGTGAATTGCAGCTCGGGGTCACAGGTGGCAGCTGGGATGGGCTTAAGTATGAAGCCTGGGACCACCAGGGCTGGGGATGGACATGGGCACTGGAATTCTCCCAGGACTGGGTCAGGGCTCTGGACTCACCTGACAATGGCTCCTTCATCTTTGGGGGCTCTGGGACCTTGGGTGGGGGCTCTGGAGCTGCCTCGCCTGCAGGCACCACTCTCTCAGCGAGGGACGCACGCTGGGGCTTGGATCCACGCCCGAGTCTCAGGAAGGCCAGTCTCCGGGCAGCCTCCCCTGCTGCCTCCTCGTCGCCATGGGCTCGGGTCCCATGCAGCCGGGCCAGGAGGCCAAAATCTGCTGAGCTCCTGCGTATCCCTGGTACCAGCACACGGCCCAGGAAAGAGCGGGACTGCCCATCCCCGGGGCTGCCTGCCCGCCGGCCCGGGGCCCAGCCCAGACGGAAGGGAGCCAGGCCTGCCAGCTTCTCCAGGGTGGCACGGCGGCGACAAGATGTTCCATTGGGGAGGGACCCCAGCTCCCCGGCCTCTTCTTCCTCCAGCCCTGAAACTTCTTCAAAGGGGTTCCGAGAGGACCTCAGAGGCAGGGTCCCCGCCCGGGGCACTTTAGGGTGATCATGCCACTGCGCTCCAGCCTGGGCAACAGAGTGAGACTCTGTCTTAAAAAAAAAAAAAAAAAAAAAAGATGGTGTTTGGGCTAGGCGTGGTGGCTTACACCTGTCATTCCAGCACTTTGGGAAGCTGAGGTAGGAGGATCACTTGAGGCCAGGAATTCAAGACCAACTTGACCAACATAGTGAGACCCTCATCTCTACAAAAAATGTAAAAATTAGCCAGGTGTGATCGCGTGTGCCTGTAGTCCTAGCTACTCAGGCTGCTAAGGTGGGAGGATTGCTTGAGCCCAGGAGGTCAGGGCTGCAGAGAGCCATGATTGCACCACTGCACTCTAGCCTCCAGTCTGGGTGTCAGAGTGAGACCCTGTCTCCAAAAGGAGATGGCATTTGGAGGAAAGGATGAGCTGTACGAGAAGCATATGGATGTGTCTCAGATAGAGACTGATGGTGGGCTTGGAATAAGTGTGGGGTGAGAACAGAAAAGGCATTGAGGAAGACACTGGGGCTTGGAGTAGGAATGGGGACTGAGGATGAAGACGGGGTGGTGTTAGGGATTGAATTATGTCCCCCCAGAAAAAAAAGGATATGTGAAGTCTTCACCCCAGTACATCAGAATGTCACCTGATTTGGAAATAGGGTCTTTACAGAGGCAATCAAATTAAAGTGAGATCATAGCGCAGACCCAAATCCCATATGAGTGATGTCCTCATAAAAAGGAGAAATTGGCCAGGTGCCGTGGCTCACACCTGTAATCCCAACATTTTGGGAGGATGAGGCAGGCAGATCACTTGAGGTCAGGAGTTTGAGACCAGCCTGGCCAACATGGTGAAACCTCATCTCTAGTAAAATACAAAAATTAGCTGGTCGTGGTGGCACATGCCT